TCTGCCACGCCTCCTTCTGCCCGTTACATACTTTTTCACAAAACCATTATACCCTGATTTCCCATTTTCAATGGGTTCAGGGTATAAAAATAATTGGAGTGTTGAAGACTGAGGAATAAAAAAATTTTCTTAATATTTCACCATAAATTTTTGGACTTTATGCCGCCTATCACGGAAAATCGCACATGCGTACACTGCAGTGTATGTACCTAATTAAGTAAATAATTGCTCTCACGTTAAAATATCATATTCGTTTGTTCAAAATTGCTGTTATGTTGCCGTATTACTATTTTCGATTACAAGATAGTAGAATACGATTAATCGTGTAAAAATAAATACCGAAATCGATAATATTACTTCACTGATTTCTTGTTCGATTTTTTGGCAGAAAGTTTTAGAATTATCAAATGGTTGTAATGCAGTGTTTAAAATACATAAGAGTGAATACATTTTAAGCTAGTAAAGTGACAGATGCAATAAAGAGTATGGCTAATGCCTTAATAAAAGATTTTGTAAAATTCAAACATTTAACAAATAGTATGTTATATGTACCGATGTGTGCGGCACTGTTGCTGCGTACTCAACGCGTAGGAAACACGCAATATTAAGTGCATAAAGACAAGTGCAAGCGAGATAGCTATTGCTACAGATTCATTGTATACAACATCTTTCATATACATATGTACATACGAGGCAAGCTGCGCGCGAGCACTTTTGTAACCGACAGCAGAGAATAAGGAATTACAATTAAAACGAAAAAAAAAAAATAATAATAAAACATCCTGTAGTCCCAAATATGTGAGTCAGACAACTCGTGAAAAATGAGAAAACACGTTTAAAGGAAATGAGTGAAGTTTATGTTATGGATATGTGTGGACACCAAAATTTTCATTTAGGGTAACAAAATACACAATTTTGGTTTTTAACAAATCGAATGTGTAGGTGAATTGTAATCAGTTATGTTGTGATCCAATGCAAAAAAGGAATAGGTTGATAATTCGATAAATATATTTTCATATGTTGTTTA